ATCATTTTTAAACAAAGTCGTCATGCGGACGAACCACAAGCCCATTAACGTCATAACTGGATTGTTCAGTGACAGTAAAAATAAATTAATATCGAAATTGTTTCCATACGTGTGCCTTAGGTCGAAGGCGTCTGGAAATTCATTTAAGTCAACAATATTTGCTGATAAATACAAATACAGTCGTCCAATGGCCATATACGGAGATGCACTCGGACCGCGATTCGTTTTGCTCTGGGCAAAAAAACAATTTCTGGATGGGATAGGCATGTTTTATTTTTACAATTTGTCACGTTGAACTCTGTTTCACGGAAGACATGAGTGAGTTCGTATCAAGCGCGAGATTAATTCGATAAAGTTTCTAATCCGTATTCTAATAAATAATAACATAAAATCTACGATGAACGTGACACAAATTTATTAAATAATCCAAATTAGGTTATTATTTGAGGAATTACCGTTGGGCGTAAAAAAAACTCGAAGGTATTCGTCAATAAAATAGGAAAAAGATACTCGCTTCCAAATTTACCGCATCCTATGAACAAAATTAATTAGTGTTTCTGTCGTTGATGTTCACGTTCGAGACCAGCTTATCCATAAAATGAATACCTGATTTAAAATTATCATCGACTTTTGTTTGCTATTTATTTTCGTCATCAATCCCGAATCCAATCTTAATTAGAAACAGCGTAACCGAACACTCCATAAGATTGTGTGAGTCTGTACAACTCCAAAATATTTTAAAATGCTTCATTCTCAATATTTAAATTCTTATGCTCAAATTAACGCCATTGTGTTTTTGAACATATACGCAGATGATGAAAAACGAAAGGAGCAAACGACATTGTTTTTACTCCAATTGCTATATTTACAACTAGACTTAGGATGACTTTCCATGAATTTTCAACATTCATTTGATAGTAATTAGGTCGCCAAAGAGCCCGATTAAATCTCTGAAGGTCACCCTCCTTTCCTCACTAACCCAACTTGTTTTGTCAGCGATGATGAATTTTCTTTCAACTTTATATATACGCTGTGCATTCAACCCGGAAGCTTGATATGAAGAGGAAAAAAATTCTGGATTCTTCGTACATTTTTTGTACAACTAACTGACTGTTATATCTAATCAAGTTTATTAATAGTGCATCATACCTTCCTACACCATCGACAATGAGGGTGTGACGTTAAAGTCAAAAGCTTATCTTGTTGAATTAGTCGAAGATACATAAGCTTATTGTGGTAAAGTCAGTTTTAACATTCTGTTTATTACTTACACATTTAAATCTCTAATCCTATTGTAAATTTTTATGACTGAATGGCAAAATTTTATTGGAATAAATTTAAGTCAGGATTTTCACATTTTCAGTTTCTGATTGGGCTTCATTACATAATATCCACTGGAGCATAAATTTTTACCATGCATTGTCTGACAGATTGATCGAAGAACGGTTTTAATACACAGCCCGAGTAACTGTTTTTATTATTTTTATGCAATTTGCTTTTACGAATCAAACAAAAGAATATACAATGAGTTTTAGATATGCCTTTCATATGTATGCATATCAGGGGTCGGCAACCTTTTGTCGCTCGCGGACCAAAATTAAGGTTGCAAGTCATTGGCGGGCCGCACATATTTCAGAAAGTTGAAAAACCGAACGGATGGTACTTTTTATAATAAAAATCAAACAGTTATACATCTCTCGAATAGAGTATAGATTTATTTCCTCATTGCATCTCAAAAAATTCCATTTGAATATTTTCGGCGCCATCGAACCCTTTGCACTTAGCATCAACTGTTCTGCGTTTTGTTGCCATTTGCTTAATTATAATTAAATTGTATGCTCAATAACCGAGTTATTGTGAATTATATAATTGTTAGGTTATAATATAAAGAATATATTCGTCAAAACGGATGTTTTGCTACTATAATTTAGTGATGCGTCGCGGGCCGGATCCGGCCCGCGGGCCGTAGGTTGCCGACCCCTATTGTATATGATCGCGTCAAACTTGAATCGACATATTACAATAAAGCACTCTTGGCATTTCTCCCATAAACTCTCTATTTTATTTTTAGTTTTGAAGGGTGTCTCCAGAATAAACTGCGTAAAAAAATTGCATTACGATACGGTAACAACATTTATCGTTGCAAGCATGCTGAATGACGACTTGTCCTTCAAACATCAGTATTTTTATAAGATTTCAAATCGATATCATTATTAATTTGCTTGCTTTGTTACAAGCCTCTCAACTAACTTTTTTTTTTCCATAGGTTGAAATATACAGTCTGACGGCCTGGTTGATATATATTGAATTGTTCCAGACTTGAGCTACAACTGAGTGCAAAATAATATTTCCAGACGTAAAAAAGGAATTTGTTGCCACGGTGCCTCTCATATCAATGCAAGTTTGTCTACTTTAACAATTAAAAAGTGATAAAATCTTCGTAATTCGCTGCACTGTTCAAGATCAGGCTTTGTGGTTAGAGTAGTTACTGACGCTATACAGCATATACCACCTGTGATTTAATCATTTAGTTTGCCTTTAACCACTTCCCTCCGATAATACTTGTACATGTACTTTCGCATGAGCAATTATTAGGTAAAGGTAATAGTTAAAAAGGTTGAATTAGGCATCGCCATAGTTGAATATTCAACTTTTTTAATGGATTACAAGTTTGCAAAATAACAGTCTGATACCGTAAGCATTTTCGATCAAGTTACCACTTTTGCAGGTGTGTCAGCAATAGCAAACTCGAGTTCAGAAAAGTAACATGATATTTTGTGAGCCTTCACCGATTTCTTCAACTTGAGGTCAAATATTTGAATACACTGCTGAACTTTTGTTTTATAGTTTATATCAGACGTTCCCAAACGTTTTTGTACCATCGCCCCCCTACAGTTATTTATACAACTCCATCGCCCCCAGCACTACAATAAAATGTAAAGTCAGAAACGAATATATTACAGACCGAATAAACAAAAAGATATTGTTTTTTAATGTAATGGATGAGCTTGATCGTCTTCAGCAAGTTTTTTAATATCTGGTGACATTTTTGTCAGGCACACTCTCGAATCATCGTTTACTGATGGAAAGGCGATTTCGTTATTGGACACGTAAGTGGACATAATGATCGTTTTGCATTTTATGCTGGCACTCTTCTTCTTATTATTTGAATTCTTCTTGGTATCGTTATGAAATAACCGCTTTTTTTCATTTATAAATGGACCATTTGCTTTGAACCATTTTCAGGGGTTGAAGATGGAATTTTTTCCTAGAAGGTGATTACTTTTATTTATTTCAAATATTTCGGTGTGCTGCATAGGATTCGTTTTTTTTAGTGCATGACGTCATCCGAATTCGCCACTAGGTGACGCTACATGTCCATATATTTGAGCGTAGCTCTCTTGTTTTGATAGTAATCGTGTAAGAGGACGGAAATTAAATAATCCAGGGCTCTATCTCCTCAAAAATCGCCGGGTACTTGCCTGATGACCTGCACCAAAATACGATCTTCGGTAAAATTCATCTTCTATTCCTCATTATGTATCACTGCCTCTAGTCCATAGAATTAATCAGCCATTTATTTGTTTCAGATTCGTGGAATTGATAGTGGGGAAGCCGTAACCGACCATCGGCTACGCCAGGGGACGGCAACTTTTGTCGCCCGCGGGCCAAAATTAAGGGTTGCGAGTCTCCCAAATCGCCTCCCTATCGCCCCCTGTGGTTTTTTGCCCCCTTCTGTCTCGTTTTTGCCCACCGTTTTTTTGATTTATAAATTTATATAAAAATATCTAACCAGTATGGTAATAAAACGCCAATCACCCTTTTTTCCCCTTCCTACATCGTACAGTATACAAGGGAGATTTGTATAAACGAACTAATTCCTTTTGTACATGTTTACTGAAAGCGATAGCAAGGCAGTGAGCCCTCAAATCAAAAATAGAAAGAATACTTATACAAAGACAAAGAGTTCCAAGCGACTACTATATACTACCAAACTATATAAATTTGTATTATACATAGATTGATACTCGCGATAAGAGATGTTTGTAAATCACGATTTGCACGAGACTTCACAATTTAAGTAAGGGAATCAAGACAACATTACAAGTGTAACAAGAATGTAAATCTATATTCTCCAAAAATGAAACACTCTTTAAACCTCTCGGCTTTGAAATCATGGAGCTTCGACTAAAACGACAATCATGCTATAGGAATTCAATTTGTAGTAGGCATGACGCTTTGTCTACAAACGAAGTCACTTTATCAATGTGCGAAAGTACCGCAAAACAACTTGGCTCGTAAGCAAGATTATATGGGCGTGTAAATATTGAGTTATCCCCTCAGTTCTGAGGCTTCTAAAAATTTAAAGAAATTTCGTGCCATGGCGACGATATATTTTATCATTTAAAAGTGTCTGGCCTGTTTAGTCTGATTGACAATGTTCTTACCCAAGTAGTCGACATATAGAATGAATATCGAGAAGATAGGCAGACGAATGTCAAGTTTGAATTTGGCGCAATAATTCCACATCGAAAACTCGACGCATTCAGATTTAACGATTACTGCCCGATAGCAGATTGATTTCAGAATTTTGCAACATTACTCTTTTTGTCCCAACGACTGATTCCTATGATAGACATTCTTTCTTTCCACTAATGATTAGACTTGCAGTTTGCTTAGTGATGAAAAGTATCTCAGATTCAAATGTAAAACTGCTAATATCTTTTTAATTAATAGAGCCTCTATGATAAACATTTCATTTTTGAAATACTCATCGCAGCTCAACAGCGACATCGTATCGTGCGTGTCCTAGTTTGTATTTTTAACGGTCAAAAATTTATCGCAATTAATGTATTATAACAAATTTTCCGAACGCTTTGAGCGTTGCTCACGATCCTTGGTTATTTACGTGTCTTCCAAATGCAAATGGAACCATTTATACCCAACTCTATGTTTCTAAGTTCCTCCACTGAAGGTATTAAAAATAACTTACAATAACATTTTCTTTTTGACTTGTATTTTACGGATTATATATTCAATGAAGCTAATCTAAAATGCAAGTAGTAGAAGATTTGTCAATCAATTGACTATATTTCCCACATCATTTTAAAATAAAGCATTTGAATTTATACTATGCTGCTAAAAATCAAGTTTAACAATAATTCATAAAAACACCAACAAGGTTTTATATTAGGAGCAAAATGAATGCAAATAGTTTGACAGAAGTACAACATGATAAAACTACGGGCCATATTTTCTGTCACACCCATACAAATCTTTTTTCATTCCCGTTATGCTGTTTATCCAGTCTTCTGCGTCAAGAATACTAGTATAGACTCCTGGAACTCCAATAGATCCACAATCGTAGTGACCAAAAGACACAATACCCGCAAGATACCAATCGCAAGAATCACATCTCTGGCAAACAAGAGGTCCTCCACTATCTCCCTACAAAAGTTTAGTGAGGAGATTTTTTTACGATATTGCTTCAATGTTTTTGAGCATGTATCATTCAATGAATGGTATGAAAGTCTAGTTGAAGAGTAAGCTACATTTATTGATTGATATAGAGAGCTATATATGACAAATAATAGCACCTCGACAATTATATCAACTACACCAAATTTAAAATAGTGCATTTACACTTTCTATGGAAATATTCCGTGTCTATAAATATGTAAGATAAATATAAGGTTCAAACATACTTCAAAGTTGTGCGTTATTCTATGTCTGCATAGCGAAGATTGATTGTTTAACACATAAGCATAAGAGAACTGGCTCGTGGTATTTGAAACAAAATTTAAGCTCTGTGGCACGAACGATCTGTGTTGTAAAAATAATTCAACTCACCAGACAACTGTCAATTTTCTTTGTTAGATGACCGGCACATAGATAGCCTTTGTTTGAATTCAGGAAAGCCAGAACATTGCCCATGTATGGAATATCCTTATAAGCTTCTTGGCAAATTTTTCGGTCAAGATTATAGATTCCAGCCTCTTGCATATGGGTGGTAATTGATCCGCCTGATTTGTCACCTGAACGTTTCAAATTATATCAGACTGCGCAGACATTTCCTCGAGTGTACAAGAAGAACAGCAAAGATTGCTTAAATAAATTGAAATTATTGTATCACAGCCGCGGATAAAACAACATTTACATTTGACAATATTGTTTTGAAGAAGAAGATTGTGAAATTTCTCCCTGTACCATACGAGTTGGAAAGTGAAAAATAGGATGATTGATGAGGCATTGTTTTGTGTTTGGAATGAAGCAAGTAAGAAACTTTCAGATATCGGTGGTCATTCACAGCGAACCTGCGCCACCAGATAAGATTTTTTTTTAGAACTAGCGGAGTAAAACCGACAGGACCTCGAAAACAATTGAAAAATCATATAAAGCTTGCAGAAAAAACTATCTTTAACTACTCCAATTTAAAAGCGATTTGACCTGTTCTTGGAGCAAAAGCGACGTAGGTTACAATAACAACAATATGAACACCGTGATCAACAATTTATCAAAACAGTTCCAAGGTGTAAGTATTGCTCGAAACCATAAATGAAGTAAAAGACTGCGATGACTAACTATTACTATGTCAACAGTAATCACGAAATAAACTTACTAACACCCCAACCGGTAACAAAGCATTTGGTATCTTGAGGAGTGACTTCTCCACCCGGCAAACATATTGGAGTAATTTCAGCTGAGTATTTAACTTTCCTGTCTATCTGAAATGTTTAACAAGTTGAAGATGTTTTAGGTTATTTTTTTATGTCTTTTATATAATAAAAGCAATTTTATAAATCAGTAGGTACGCACACATAAGAAGTGGTACGTTAGTGGTTCTGACAGAAGTTTGAAAAAATTTAAGCATTAGTGTTTATGTTCAAATCGTTTTTACCTCGATAACAACAATATCGTTATTTGGAAACTTATATTCAGGATGTGCTGTCACAGATTTGATATTTCTTATCTCCTTCGGTTTGTCTTGAAACAACTTGGTTATTCCAAAATACAATTTCCATTTCTTTGTATTGCGTAGGTTGCCTTGATCATTTCTACATATAAAATTGAAAGATATTTGAAAAATAGAATGAAAGATATTTATATTTTAAAGATATTTAAAGAATAGATTAGGATATAATTTCATCTAGGTAACACGACATCGAATTTCAGTCTTTTGTACGTTTATACAAATAATTTTTTTAGGTTAGAATTTAATAACGATATTTATCACACAGAATAATTTGTAACATTTAACTTTTATTTCTGAAATCTGGTAAACCAATCCAATGTTATTCTCTTATACACTTTTGTTACCGAGTTGGAAGACTTTAGTTTTGATAGTATATCTCATTGAAAACGTCCAGTGAAATTGAATAGAATTTATTTGTTATGTCTGCTCTCTTGCATAATACTAAGTGATACAATTTAAAAACTTTGTTATTGATTCAATCATTGTTAAACCAGATGTTGTGTTTGAAGGATTCATACAAGCATTTCTATAATAATTTCTTTCGTAAAAGGCGTTGGGACTTCTCATAAAAAACTACATAGAACTATTTTAACGATCAATGATTCTCCCATCAAACATACACATCGGAATTTAGCTAGCGACATAGAGTACAAGTAAATACGTATATCATGTCCACTTTCACCTGTTGCTTTAGTAGGTTATTCACAAAACAAATAACCAGCATTTATTAGAACTCTTAGACCTTAACAGTTCTTCAATGTTGTAGAGGATATATACTTAAAAATTTTATTTGATAACCATTTCAAACTAGTTACATATTATACTCACACAAAGCAATGTGCAGCGGAGACTAAGAACTTGTTATTCACGAGAACCGCACCACAAAACTCGTTATTGTTAGGAATTATGGCAATCTGAAATAATTTCTATATGTATTATTTATATAATTCTGATAAACGTTTAGTGTTTAAATAGAATTATGATAAATGCATTAGGTTTGTGACTGTGTAATTTTTAATGAGTAATTCAATTTAAACGACAGTTTGAATATTATTCGAATAATTATGCAATGATGATATACGTATTTGCATAAAATAAATTATACCAAACTAAAGGATATATTTATTTTTTTAAATACTAATTTTATGAGGCAATTCAATATAGGGCACAAGCTTAAATGCATTATTACTGACCGTCCAAGGCCATCTCTTGCGGTCAGCGTTGACGCCACCAACAGCTTTACTAGCTACGCTTGACTGACCGCACGAAAAAAAATATGATTCTTTTTTGCAACATTGGTGAGGAATTCCGTACCGGTAATCTTCAGTTTCACTGGTGCAATCTAAATAAAAAGCAGTAAACCTCTAAGAAGAAGAACAAACAGATAATAGAATAACCGTTGGACATAAATTCTTCTGGCACTGTGCATCATAAAAGTCCATTTATAGCCCATGCCAACCACTCACCAACAGTATAACAATTTTGGTAAGCAATGCCGAACTCAAAAGATTACGCGATTGCGAAAAGTATTTCATTCTGTAATAGTGTCTGCTTATACAGAGCATTTTCATAATGAAGGTGGTGGAGCGTTCCAGTAAAACAGGGTGCATGGACCGTTTTAATATGAATTATTATTGTTGTCGAAACAAAAATTTGCTTTTTAATTTATTACTGGACAAATCGATTATAAAACGAATGAAATGCAGTTCGTTCAAGGTGACGACATCTCACAAAATATCTGAATGCTTCATTTGACTAGTCAGATTTGTTTTTGAAATCATAGGCAGACTTAAAATTTTGAAAATTTGTTCATACTTTTGAAGACACCCTATGGTCTGGCAATGTGAGCCTGGTAATGAAGCAGAGTTCAAAGAATATGATAACAATGAAATTCACCTGCACTTCTACATGACTCAGTCCCACATTCTTCATATTCCTCTGTGCATTTACCATTTTCATCGCATACTCTTCTGTGTCTTGTCCCATATCCACATGATTTAGTGCAAATTGACCAGCCTACATTAATTTATATGATATATCAACCATTGATTGGAAGTATAAGAACATGAGGAACAAAGAACGCTAATATTTCGAAGCTAGTTCACTTGATCATGAAAATCAACCAAACGGACGACCTGACGGAAATCTTTAGATAGATGTAGGCTGAAGAAGTTTTATAAAATAAACTGACCCATTGCTTGAAATCACTACACCTCGTATCGTGTCTACCATTCAAGTTAGAAAAATCATTTTTATTCTTAATATTTGTTACTTAATACTTAATTTATTTTACAAATTATTGAAGCTTTCAACAATATATTCCAAACAAGAGTTTAATTTGAATTCTCATTCAAATTTGGTGACAAATCACATGACACAAACCGTTTGGCGTGGTTCGATGGAGGCTATCAAATGAACATTTACGCTCATTGTACGTTTGTTGTTAAAGTCAGTTTTTATGCTGAATTTTTTATGCCACTTCAATTGTGATTCAAGACAAATTTGTTGGGTGTTTTATCATGTTTATGGTTGCCAAAATACACAATATTGAGTATATATGTACAGAAAGATGATTTCCATAAGCGTAAAACAATCAACGCTAAAAACGAAACCTCAGTTTTAAAACGCCAGAGGCATTTTATAGAAGAATTTACACATATTTTCCTTCAGTGGATTTACAAGCAATATAGTTAAATATTACAAAAACCTATGCGTTTTTTGCCTTTATTAGTTTTATACTTTCAACGCTCTGGCAATATCTGATCTTCAACGAAGGAACCAATTGGCATTACTACCGCTCGCTTCGAATCCCAGAGCATTCAGTGGTTCATGACAAGCGCACCCCCTACACAAGTGTACCGTTTTTATTCAGGGTAGCTTGAAAGATCCCCGCATTACGAGATTATCCGAACACTTTAATTAACACTGATGTGTTTGTTGAGTACACTCATATAGGGTATCGTTCGGAGAGAAAGCGTAAACTCACCGCATAGGTCACATGTTTTCCTGCAATTTGTTTTAACGTAGTTGTTATCGCAAGAAGATTTCCAAGCTTTACATCTGGGGAGGTCGTCTTCACATGAGTACAGGGTGGAGGCAACTGTTGGTTTAGGTGTTGTGGGACACGTACCGCATGTTTTCGGACAAATTTCCTTTAATGAGGGAGAAAGGGAACACCATGTTTTGGTGACATCTTCACATCCATCCGAATCTTCACATGGATCTAAAACACATAAAAAATATTACCATCTATCTGTTAAATACCAAGTTATTTCTTCATTTACATTTGCTCAACGCTGATCCATACGAACTTACTCGGAACTAAAGTAATAAAGAGCTTCAAAATATTTATTTCTTGCTTAATGTCACAATACGACGCTTACTCGTGCTTTTTGCCACGAACAAGACTAGATGAAAGCAGACCCTCATAACTAATGAATGTTGAAAATTGGATTCGGCATGGTTGTGAAGGCCTGCGGAAGCGGCTGGCTATACGCCTACTGTGAATCATTGAAAACTCGAGTAGAGAGCAAATATTCTAATAATTAATAAAACGGAGAGTTTCATTATATTTACAACATTAACAAATAAAACTTTATTCTGTAAGATAGTAAATTTTTGTTCTTTTCCATAATGCCCCTCGCTGACTCGGTGGTTAACACCATTTTTTCATTAAGTATTTTTTTTCTCGATTGTTATAATAATGCAACTTTGGATGTAATATCGGTCTATTAAAATCGGTTTGTAATTGGAACACGAGCAATTCTCACAATCGGCGACAAAATCTCACTTTATGAAGGAAAAGTCTGAGATAATATGAGTGAATAACAAAATTCAGTGAAAAGCCATTACAAAAACACCGTTTCTCACCTTGAGCAAAAGTTCCGCATAAGAAGATTATGGGTAGAACATATAACCAGTAATCCATTGTTGTAAAACTTGAGCTTGGACAAATGCAAGAACTTCTCAGATTGTTACTAAATATGTAATTTCAATCTGTTAATTAAAATTGATAGAATAAGTTTATTACAAACTTAATTTCTTGACATATACTTTACTAATTTATATAGTTGTCCGTGGTGCTGATGCATGACAAATTTCTTACAATAACACGCATGTCATGCTCTATAATTTCTGCTGTTGGAAACGACCGAACAAGTTTAACATATCTTCTCTGCACTTGTAGTTAGTTAACTTATGCTATGGCCCGCAATAAAAAAAAACCAACCAATAAGCGAAATATATTATATACCGGATTCGAATGTTCGAGCATAGATTTCCAGGCAAGATTACTAAACAACGTTCCCGTATCCTAAACTAAAACTGAAAAATTACCTGACAGGAAAATCGCAAACTTCCACTGACGATCAGATCTACACAAAAATTCTTCGGAAGAGTGATTGTAGCAAAGATTTCACAAAAAAGTAAGGTGTTCACAAGTGCTGGTTTAAAAATATCGATATAAAAAAAATCATTGACTAATCACGACTAAAAAATTATTTTCTATGTGACAGTTTTTTCATTATATCAACATCCATGCCTAGCAGAAATTAGTTTTAACAGGATACAATCTATCAGAACTAAACATCACTATCACTTGCGGTAAATTATCACATAATCATTTGAAATGAAATAACATTGACGCTGTTGATGTCGTTATATATACAAAATAAAACGAAGTATGTAGATATACCCAGAAGGCAATGGAACCGAAACGATTACGTAAAAGTATTAAATTCTTAATCCTCATTTCTAGATAAACACATCCGTTGAAAATTAATTGCGATTTATTTTTTATGAGCTCAATCGAAAATCGTGAAGAACAATGGGAAATTTTTTTTCATATCCATGCGAAAAAACTGATGTCACCTACAATTTCCGAAAACGAAACATTTACTGGGAAGAATACCAAGAACCTTGAAAACGGGATGATTTTATGACGCCGCGAAGCCTCTTACCTAGGAACGAACATATAAAGAAAATTTAAAATTATGCCAAAATAATTCTCATCAAAATATGTCATCACCCATAACGATATAATACTTTTTGATGCCAGAGTTTAGATACAGTAAGTCAGTTGAAATAAATTAAATATATTCCCCTATTTCTAGATTAAATTTCAAACTATATTTTAAAGTAAATCCAAAAATTTCCACAATTAGTAAATATGAAGAATTAGATTTGAGCGTAAGCTATACATGTGCGCGTTCGATGAAAATCCGCTTGCAGAACGGTCCGATCCAACCGGTTTCACTTTAGACTCAGTAATCAAGTTTGAAATATTGAAATCTTTATAAATTAATACAATATTCTCTGTGTTCTCGGGCTTTGAGAATATGAAAATTATTTATGCTTCCCCAAATGTACGTAAAGGCTAATTATTTTCGTAAAATATGGGCATAAAATATTTGAAAAAATCACTGGCCACAAATTGAACGTATTAAAACTTTCACTGAGCGAAGGAATGCACACTTTTACAATAATAGTCCATGGGGCGTAAGATCGTGCCGACAAATTTTACTGCATTATCAGAAAACCTTGTAATATTTGTGAAACTTTGCTAAATATAAAAAACGATCTAGCAATCAAAGGATTGAAAATCATAATGATATGGAACAAATGCCAACAACTCGCAATGAGGCTTTCTGTTTGTATATAAAATATATTCATGATATTTTCATTCTGATCCTGTTTCAAATCTATGTAGACCATACATAATTATTTTTAAAAATGTAAAAATAAAATACAAATATATGTAATAATACTAATTGATTTTTTGAATAATAGTAGTAGTAGTGTAATAGAAGTTGTAATGTGCATCGTCGGAATGGGTAAATACTCGATCACGTGTTTTTCTGCCGTTTCATAAAAAATGTCATATTCATATAGTATGAGTTCATTTTTTCAATGTTGAAAATTTTTAAAGCATTTTCGCTAAAACAAAAATCATGCATATATATTTATCGGCAATATTGCAAACATTTTGAATATTGTATTTTTTCATTCATTCTCTGCAATTTCCAGTATCGCGGCCCGCAAGTTATGAGCTCTTGCTATATATAAAATAAAAGTTATTCCAAAAAATGAATAACTGACTAATTACATATTTGGCAGATTTGCAAGTATTATTTGCTTTATATACCGTGAAAAAGTAATTTCCATGTATATTTTGCTAAATTGCACAATATATTCGGTTAAAAACAATTTTTTTTAATAAATTAGGATTTTTTGGCATTTTCACATAGCCTCAAGCTTAAAAACTCTTTTACGTTATAAGTATCGTGAAGTAGTTTATTTAGATCGTGTTAACCACGATTATTAAAAATATACGCCTATACGTTTCCCATCCATTGGCCGTTTGTGATAATGAATCAAGCATAATCATACAGAGCCAAATAAAATAAATTTTTTAAGATTGGGAATTGAAGATATTAGGAGATGATATAAGTTAGCCTCTAGCACTAAATTTTTTGGTAAAATAATATAAGATGTTTAGTAAGCAATGTCGTCAAGACCATGCGGTCAGATACGATAGCGTCATAATAAATCGGTTTAATGGTTACAAGACAAGTTTCATCTTGAATGTTATCTAACATACTTCGGTAATGTTGATTTAAAGATCTTTCAATGTATGAAGCTATATCTTCAAAAATATGGCATTTCATGCGGCCTGTGTCCTTTTAATCAAATATGCTTTGTTCTTCAGGGAAAAGAAGCCCTTCTGTCTCTTGTAAAAGGGGATATATGGAACATAGCAGCATAGGTCTCTAGGAGAGCCCAATCTAAGAGACAGACCTGTCGGATGAATCCGAATGCTGGGTAGTGGTCGTCCTAGCACGGAAATTGCCATGACATGATGTTAATTGTTAATCTCGCCAACGCTATATCAGCATGCAGTATCGCTTTTATCGATTTATGTGAATTGCTGGCTTCTTTCTCGTCTTAGCAGATATTGGTAAAGAAAAATATTATTTATGTCGGGACGTTTATCATATTACCGCGATTGTAGTAAGCGGTACCATCTTATTCCTTTTCCTCAAAAGCGACGATTATCAAACTTTAGAATCTGCTGGACAACGGGTTTTGGCAGTATCTTTTCAATACTAGCGGAGTTTGTCACGTATAAATAATTCGTGGTTAAAATTGTTCATGTCGCTAGAAAGCTTATTTGCTTAACTTATCGTGAATTTGATATGAGAACTGATATTTCATCCAGAATTTCAATTTTTCATTTTATTCTTGTGATCACCGTTTTTATCAAGCGCAGTTTCAAGTATTTTGTGGCGTCTGGAGCTGCTGCAAAACCATGACGGGATTTTCAAACCATGGCCGCTATGGCCAAACCATGGCGACTGACTTTTTAGCTGCCACTAGGGATGTAAGTTTTGTATTATTTTTTCGAATCGAATTTTGAATCACAAAGTTCCGATTCGAATATTTCCGAATCTGATTCTATTTAGTGTATCATCATATCATCGTTAACTATCTTCAAATTTGGAAGAAATATCGTATAAATTTTACTGAAAGAACAATAATGAGCTTGAAGAATGAAGAAAGTTACTAGAAAAACACAAGGCGTGGATGTATCAACTACCAAATATATTACGGCTAAGATAAATTTTTTATTACATAAAGGTATACTCAGGTACATAATTACTTACATACAATTATGTTTGCAAACAATACTGGGTGTATAGCGATTGTTTCTTCTAAAATTGACCTTCAAAATCCATCCAAACGATAAACGCTAGTTAGTACCGTATGAGCCATGATTTTAAAAGAAGCAATGGTAACGTTGGGAAGCATCGCAGACATGTTTATAAGGAGTAAAACAGTGATGTTTTATTGTAATCATATTATGTAGATAATTTGAAGAAACGTTTAGATATTAAAATATTTGCGAAACTTTGAAACATTTCGAGTAGTCGACCGCTATTGGGCAAAACCATTGGTCCTTCGAAAGCTTCTACCAAAATAAAATATAACGACTCTGGGAGTGTCACGGCTTTGGGAAGCTGTAAACGTAAGGAAAACAAACGCTTCTGGTCGATTTCAAAGCAGCGACGCTGTGTCGTGCATCTGCCTTGTGTTATCTATAAAAAAAAATTTGAATAGAATCGAGCCCCTTTTTCCTAAATTGCTTCGAATTGATATTGATTCGAATCGCCTCGATTCGAAATTCTGAAACTTACATCCTTAGCTGACACAAACCAATGCTGTTAACGCGGTCGCAAATTGAAAACGCATTTTCGTATGGCTCACACGCATTTTCGTATGGGTCGCGTAGAGTGTAGACTACCGGCACCCCTGTTAGTTATTTGATTCTCGTGTCCTTATATTTAAGCTTTGCTCTCTTGTTTATAAAAAAGAGGTAAAAGAGTCTTCGTAAAGTACAACGGTTAATGGAAGTTTGAGAACCGCTGATATGAACTTATCATCTCTTACAATTAAAACGTGTATTCGGTTTGACCATCTTAATTCAACAGAAAAGACACCGATTTGAAGCAATGATTGGATTCAAAATTTTGAGAACTGGTTCTCTTTTTAGTATCAAACTCAATAAAAACGGGTTACCCCATTTCACGCAAACGACATGAATCACACCACCGATTTGAAGCCTATTCAGCGGTTTTGATAGGTCCAAATTTTTTCCTATTTGCTATCGAGGTTTAAACCGAATTTTCTAATTTATTTCACTCTTGGCGAATGTTAACGAAACTGTATCCTAATTATGAAAGTGATACTCATACTCACTTCAAAACCCAATCCTAGGACCAAGGCCTATTCCCGGGACAAATTTTTCTATCCCATCCCATGGACGAATCTGGGGATTAAATGAGAATCCCATAGACAACCTTGCCGGTGTCACGCCACAAAATAAACAATAGATATGAGTATATGAAGAAAAAAAGACGAGTAAAAAACCTTTAAAATGTAAAAAAAAGTATTAAGACTAAGGTTAGCTCTGACGTAATCAAGTTGGCTTGTCTTAATGCCCGGTGGGAGATACAAATTTGTTTTTCATCCCATCCTATGGACGTTTCCCATGGACAACCCAGCCAGAACTACCATCGCGTAACCAATACCAATTGTACAATTGTTTAGTTAAATCTAAATTATAGAAGGGAAAGGCACTGATTTTGCGGAAGGGAGGATGCTATGACCACGGACTTGTTGTGGTATAAAACAAACATATCTAGCTTGCGTTTCATGCTTTCTACAATGTAAATCATCACACCATGGTGGTATGAGCTAGCCAAGGCTGCCCAACACTCGGCCCGCGGGCCGCATGAGGCCCACCGGACTGTTTTTGCGGCCCGCCTTATAAAGTTTGTAAGCAGACCTTTTAATTTTTTACTATGTTATATATCAATTTATAGGCTTATGTATGTTTTGTGATTTTGATGTGATTATTCCTGCCATCTATCTACATTCAAATGCCGGTCCTATTAATACGTATGCGTCAAGTCTTGCACCCTGGTGGACATCGACGTCAGTTTTTTTTTTATTTCTCGCAAAACTGTGCGTTCTGTTCGACGAACTTGAAAGATATTGTGTGATCATTGGGGACGAACGCGGAGCGCAATCATAAGA